AGGAAAGGAGGAGGCGGAGGGGGAGGAGGAAGAGGAGGTGGAGGAGGATGAGGATGAGGAGAAGCAGCAGGGAGGGGAGGAGGGTCAAGCTAGGTGCGCTCGCGTCATATCTGACATCCTACCCCTCCCTCCCAGCCCTTACCATGGCGTAGATCCCCTCTCTACTCGCACAATCGGATGTCGAGCAGGGCAATGATCCCGAAAGGGTACGCGATGCATTGTACAGCACGGCATGGCATGGCGTAGAAGAGCACCGAAAAGCGTAGTATGTCACAGCATGGCGTGGCGTGGCGTAGTGAAGAATTGCATCACAAAGCTTTGCAACGCAAAGCATGGCATCGCACAGCGGTCCCGAACATAAAATTGCATAGCATGGCGTTGATGATCAAAGCGTAGCATGGCATAGCACGACGTGACACGTAAGCACTGCATATCACAGCTTCAGCTGAAGGCATGGCATCGCGCAGCAGAACGCAATCTACATTGCATTGCATGCCGTGGCATGGCGCGGGAAATGACGCCAGCGCTGCAGCGGGAGCACGATTCGGAACGAGCGGAAACGCGGAAATGAGGCCAGCGCTGCAGCGGGAGCACGATTCGGAACGAGCGGAAGCACGGAAATGAGGTCTGCGCTGCAGCGGGAGCACGATTCGGAACGAGCGGGGCCCGAAAATGAGGCCGGCGCCTCAGCGACAGCAGCATTTTGAAACAAACGCAGAAATGCAGGCGAAAAAAACCCAAATCTGGGGAAATCTGTTATGTACTTGGTGTAAAAACAACAATACGGGGGGGGGGGGGGGGGGCGAACACTCCCAACCCGTCATCAGGGGAAGGAGGAGAGTAGTATTCAAATTGAGTAATTGTGGAGGAGGGGGAGGGGGAGAATGGGGTCCTGCAACTACTGTCGATGTCTACATCATCGCCAGCCGCCTGCAACACCCCGGGGGGGGTGCGGGCCTGACGCACCCCGACAAAACTAGTAGAAGGGTGAACAATCCGGGCGTCAAGGCGTCACGGCCGCCGCGGCCGGCAGCCCCCGTTGAAGAGGCCCTCGCCCTCCGTCAGGCTGTGCATCCACAGGTCTGGCCGTCTCATAGCCACGATGGGGGAGGGGGAGAGGGGGGGAGAAGTTCCTCTTCACTGCAGTCTACAAGCTGGCAGTCGCATAGCAGGGAGGATTCTTTCAGGCCCAAGCCCCCGATGTCGTGACTCTTTCACGACGTCGACCCCCAGAGGTCTGGACCCCTTCCCGGAGACCGGCTCTTCGTCCCGCGTCGTTTGTTGATGGCCCTGAGGCCCGGGAAGGCTCCCAGGGGCCGACAGCAGCGAAAAGCCTCCCGTCGCGATTCTGTTCAACGGCCCGAGGGGCTCTGGGGAGCGGGAGGAGAAGAAACCCAAGACGCCTCAACGATGCTGCAGCACACCCTCTCGTCCCAAGCCCCCTCCTCCGATCGGGGAGACGCCAGGCTCGGATGCGGGGGGCTCGGGTTGGCCTGACGGGGGCCATCAGAACCATGGGCGAGACCCGGTCTGAAATTTGACGCGACCTCCCGCTGCAAACATCCCACGAGCACTGGACCGTCAACATCCTGGACGCGCTCGTCAAAAAACGTCGGTAAATCCGAGTTCCGGCTTACTCGAGTCTTACGCTCCCCCGATCCTGGAGTCCCCATGAGTCTTTCTCCACTCCTCCTCGTCCTCGTCCTCCTCCTCCTCCTCCTCCTCCTCCTCCTCCTCATCCTCCTCCTCCTCCCCCTCCTTACCTCCTCCTCCTCCTCCTCAACTCTTCCTCCTCTCTCCCCTCCCCCCCCCCCCCTACCCCCCTATCCCCCCCCCCCCTCCTCCCCCCCCTCCTCCCCTTTGCCTCATCCTCCTCCCAAGCCCCCTCCTCCAAGAGTCCCTACGAGCCCCCCTCTTCACTGCAGAGGCCAGCGCCCGCATTGAGAGGCCAGCGAATACTCGGGCCTGCCCTGCAGGCGACAGCACCGACTTGACATATGGAGCTGCCTCTGCATCTTCGAAGGGGTCCAAGGACACACAAAGAAATAAACGCATATCCCAGGATCCCCCGTATTTTTCCAATACTTTCTGGAGGTTAGTCTGCTCCCCCACTTCCCATAGTTTCCCACAGTTTCCTGGGAATCGACGGTTCATGCCGTGTGTGTGTTTTTCCTCCCCTCCCGAATCTTCCCAGTACAGATCCAGAAGAGAGAAGCATGACCGCACGGCCGATGACGAGGTGTCCGGCGAGATCCCCTTTCTTATCACGCACGTCGGGCCACAAGCGATCGTGCGGTCCCCGAGCTTGCTCCAGGACGCGTGCAGTCGACGACGTGTGGAGCCGAGGAGGCGAAGACGGGGGCAGACGGCACGCGAAGGCAGCGCGGGCGCCGACCACCCCACGACGTGCAGCTCCTCACAAAGGTGTGCACGCCTGGTCACGGATCTCGAGGAAGTCTCGAGCGACGGCCCCGTCTCGAAGCAGGGATCGCCCTCCCTCCGCGCAGCTGGTGCACACGCTGGAGCGTCTCCTCGTCTCTCTGTGATGCGCAAGCTCGGAGAAGCCGCAGCGAATCCCCGTGCCGAAGAGGCCCCGCCACGCGTCCCCGTGGCCGCTGAAAGCTTTAGAGACGGCCGTTCGCGGCGCTGCGGCGAGGGCCCCAATTGGAGAAGAAACCCGCCCTCCATCCGTGAGACACTGCTGCAAGCGCGCACGACGCACGTGCGCGGCGCTGGGGCGAGAGCTCGGACTTGAAAAAGGCCCGCCCCAGGGGGAAAGAAGACCTCCTCCTCCTCACTCCTCCTCCTCACTCCTCCACCCTCCTCCACCCTCCTCCTCCTCCTCCTCCTCCTCCTCCTCCTCCTCCTCCTCCTCCTCCTCCTACTACTCCGCCCTCCATCCTTGAGCCTTTGCAGAAAAAATAGGGCGAACGTTCACGGCGCTGCGGCGAGAACCCCATTCTGAGGAGGAGCAGCCCTCCATCCGTGAGAAACTGCTGGAAACAATGGAGGCGAATGTGTGCGGGGCTAGGTCTAAAGCCCCATTGTGAAAAGGACCCGCCCTCCACCCTTGAAGCATCTGCAAACTTTCGTACGGAGGGGCACGGCGCCAAGTCGAGAGCCACGTTTTGAAACGACCCTCCTCCATCCTGTAACTGTTGCAGGTTTAGAGGCTCAGGGCCATGAACGGTGAAATCTCGGGCTAGAAACCCGGCCCGCCCTACTGACACGTTTGGGGGTGCGACAGTGATGTCACCTAGACGGCAAACAGGAGAGCCCAGAATCGAATCGATAAGTTGGCTCGGCGATCGACATGTGAATCGAATCGGCAGAAATCAGCAGCCACGTCGGGAGAAGTCGAAACGGCAGAAATCGGCAGCATAGTGGGCCTCCATTGAGAAATCGGGATCCAAATCGGAATCCGGAGTCGAATTGAATCGGAAACACTCGAAGTCGAATCGAATCGGAGGGGTCGAGACGAGCCCTGGAAAAGTGACGGAGGAAGAGGGTGTGGGAAAATGCAGTGGATCTGCCGCGGGCCCAGACCCCCGACGTCATGATTTTTTGCATAACGTCGACCCCTGGAGGTCTCGACCCATTCCTCTGGACCGGTACGAGGAGAAGGAGGAGGAGGAGGGGGAGGAGGCGGAGGAGGAGGAGACGGATGAGGAGGGGGAGGGGGAGGAGAAGGAGGAGGAGGAGGAGGAGGAGGAGAAGGAGGAGGAGGAGGAGGAGGAGGCATCCTGAGTCGTTTTTTGACGGGTCCCGAGGGCCGGTCAGGGCCCCAGAAGACGAAACCAGCAAGAAACCGTTGGTCATGATTTTTGTCATTGCCCGAGGGGGTCTGGGAGGAGGGAGGACTGTCCTCGTACCGCTCCGTGCCATCGGCGTTGGACACCAGCACCCCACGGCCGTGGCGCTTGCCGTACCGGAAGGCTCCCTCGCGGGGGGCGGAGGGAGGCATCGTGGCTCGTCCGAGAGGAGGAGGAGGAGGAGGAGGAGGAGGAGGAGGAGGAGGAGGAGGAGGAGGAGGAGGAGGTTTGAGGAGAGGATAATGGCTTAGTGAAGACGGGGGCGATGGACGAGCAGGAGGAGGGGGACCGGGTCTCCATCCTCTCCTTCCTCCTCTTCTTCCTTATCCTTCTCCTCCTCATCCAGCCCTCATCACTCCTCCAGCCCCTGTCCCCCCTTAATCCCCGCTCTCTTCCTCCTTCTCCTCTTCCTTCTCGTATCCCTCGCCACCTCTTCCAGCCCTCCCCCCCTTCTCCTCCTCCACCTTCTCCTCGTCCTCCTCCACCTCTTCCTTCTCCTCCACCTCCTCCTTCCCCTCCTCCTCCTCATCCTTCTTCTTCTGCCTCTACCTCTCCGTTCTCTCCAGCCGCGACGGCAGTGGCCACCCACGAGGCCCAGCAATAAAAACATCCAGGCCATCCCTCTAGGGGAAGGAAGAGGAACCTCCTGCCTCTGGATGCCTTCAGGGCTTCCAGAGACAGCAGAAGCCTCCTGCCTCTGGAGGCCTTCAGTGCCTCCAGAGGAGAAGAGAGGAGAGGAGAGGAGAGGAGAGAGGGAGAGGGACGTAGAGAGAACAGTAGATGAGAGGGGAGGAGGGGGGAGGAGGAGGAGAGGGAGGAGGGAGGACGAGGAGGAGGACGATGCGGACAACCAGGAGAAGGGAGGGGACGATAGCAGGAGGAGAGGAGGAGGAGGAGGGGGGGAGGAGGGGGATGAGAGGAGGAACATGAGGAGGCAGGAGGAGGAGGAAGGAGGAGGAGGAGGAGGAGGAGGAAAGAGGAGGGGGGGGGAGGCGGAGGAGGAGGAGCAGGAGGAGCAGGAGGTAGCAGGAGGATGGAGGAGTGAGGAGGAGGAGGAGGAGGAGGAGGAGGAGGAGCAGGAGGAGCAGGAGGAGCAGGAGGAGGAGAAGGAGGAGGAGGAGGAGGAGGAGGAGGAGGAGGAGGAGGAGGAGGAGGAGGAGGAAGAGGAGGAGCAGGAGGAGGACGAGGAGAAGGAGCAGGAGGAGGAAGCGGAGGAAGCGGAAATGCCTCCCCTCGGGAGGCCCCTGCTCCCTGTTGCATGTGGCCTCCAGGCGTGAGCCTCGTCGCCACAGCCATTCCACGCCAGCAGCGAACACAACGGACCTGCCATCGCTCGGACGTCCACTCCCGCCGTGCACTTCTCGGCCCCGTGCGCTTCTTGCTTCGCCGCATCACCCCAGAATGTTCCTCGAAGGTCCTCGCCGAGACACGACGCACACGTCCGAGCGACGATGCCGAGAGGATGGACCGCGGGAGCGGTCCAGGGACGTCCGTCCCGCAGCGCCCTTCTCGGCTCCGTGGCGCTCCTTGCTCCGCCGCGTGACCGCAGATGCTCCGCGAGGGTCCTCGCCGAGACACAACGCACACGTCCGAGCGATGATGCCGAGGGGATGGACCGCGGGAGCGGTTCAGGGACGTCCGTCCCGCCGTGCACTTCTCGGCTCGGAAATGTGCCCTTGCTCGGGGGCTGCCAAAAGCCGTGCTCCTCGCACACGTGGGGCCCCAGGATTTCCAAGGGGGCCCCTCCACCGCCTTCAGAGGATACCTGGCGATGCCCAGGAGGCCCCAGAGGTCCCAAAACGGAGCGAGAAGCTGGGGGGGCACCTTGGCCCAGGGGCGCACTTAGCGGATTCTGGAAACCCTGAACCCAAAAATGTTGTCATCTCTTGGGGGCCCATATTTTACTTCCGCCACCCTCCGCCGCCCTTTCGCCAGCTGCCGCTGGCGGAGGCGGCCTCGTTTTACTTCCGCCACCTTCCGCCGAGAAACAGATGGCAACTCCTCCGATCCTCGAAGGCAAGGCCCTCTTTGGAACGCCCCGCATGGCCCCAGATCCTCCTCCAGAGTCCTCGCCAAGACACAACGCACACGTCCGAGCGGTGCCGAGCGGATAGCGAGAGGGGGGGCACGCTCTCTGGGCCCCTCCCGTGGTATCCCTCTGCCCGTTTATCGAGCCGCGTCTGGCCTTGGCCACGACAACCTTCAGAAGGAGCCGCGACTTCCGCAGCAATGGCGCCGGCTTCGAACCTGGGCCCTCGGAGAAAGCAAACGGAGGCACGCTCACCAGAACCTAGCCGTGCTCAAGACGGGTCCGAGACAGCTCTTGGAGCGCGGGGGCACAGCCGACCAGCCACCGCCGGGGGGAGCTTTGCTCCCTGTCTCCCTGGGGAAACCCATCGCATCGACGATGCTCGAGGTGGGGGTCGACGCCGACGGGCCCCCCAGGGGAATAGTTCAGGGCCAAAACTTCCCCAGTCGTGACAGGTCTGCCCAGGGGGAGGGGCCGGAGAGCCGAGACAGCACCAGGGGGGGGTATTGGGCGGCAGGGGGGGCACGATGGCACCGTGCCCCCCCTGGCCGAGGCCCCCCGAAGGTCCTGAACCTTGCAGGGGGAGGAGCTCTGCGCGGCCGTTGCGGGGAGGAGGGCAGGGGGCATCTTGGAGGCGGGGTACGAGGACTGCTGAGCTTGTCTCGGCTGCGCCGCTGGGCATGGCCGCCTCCGGCGCGCGAGCCAGCCACTCGTGTCGCTCT